TCACCAGTGTAGAAAACTGCAAATGAGTCAGAGATCCTAGAAACTGAATATATCTGAATTCATTTGCAGATTCATCGGGCCGACGTGGGCGTCCAGACACGAAGAGAGGCTAAAAAAGGTGGAAGATCATCAGAGCGCCGACGGGCGCAGTCAGCTGACCTGGAGAAGTCCAGAAGATCAGCACTGAGTGTGGCAGACGAGCGCTGGATGACAGAGTACATGCGCTGCTTCTCTGCTCGACTGAGGTAGAGGCGGATCCAGGATGGATTTGATATGATGAGGCTGCAAGAAAAAGATCCCAAACCAGCACTACAGGACCATTACAGAAGGCACTGGCAATTGAAAACAAAAACTGAATAAAAAGTTACACGCATTCCTTTAAATTCGAAATATGAAATGCAGTTATTCATAAAATATTAAAATAATTCATATTTTTTGATGCTGGTGTAACCCCTCTCTCCCGGGTCCTCACCGCCACACCTTGTTCTTGTTCTGAGTGGAACTCAAACCCGGGTCTCCAGCATGGGAGGCGGACGCACTAACAAGGAGGCTAAAGACTGCAGCCACTAGCATCAGTCGCTAGTGCATCTCTTGAGATCAGGGGAGTGAGGTTTACCTGCACAGCACCTACCGCTGGCCTCCGTTACACTCACCCCCCTAATCCTCACTCCCATCCGGGTCACGGCACCAATGTAACCCCTCTCTCCCGGGTCCTCACCGCCACACCTCGTTCTTGTTCCGAGTGGGTCTCGAACCGCACTAACAAGAAGACCTACCGCTGGATTCCGTTACACTGGCTACAATCACTTTGTTATGAATGCATTTAAGGACCAAACGTTTAAATATTACACCAAAACACATTTGGTATCACAAATACTTTAATATTTTCAGTATCTTGTTTCTGTTGGAATTTAATTGTCATTTTATGTTCAGTGTTTGGTGGTTATTAGAAGGTTTCAGATCTTCTGTTCTGACTTTTAACATGGGCTGCAGGGATTTAACGATCAAAATTCATTTCTGAGAGGACCAAACATTTATTGTTAAAAAGGATTTGTTTCTGACACGGATGATTGTTTATTCCGATCTTTCCAGAATGTTATTCTAGACGCTCCAGCTGGCCTGTCATTACAATCTCAGCTGTAAAACGTACTGTTCTTTTGAATGTGATTGACTGATGTTTGGTTTGTTTTAATCGATCACATGGTCAGTGAATTTGTGTTTGAGAGACCGTGTTAGACGTGCAGTGCTGTGCAAGTCGTGAAATGTTTTCTAAAAAAAAAAGTGTATTTTCCTCACCGATCACCAACAATCATCATTTTAATCCACTTTTTGCACAAAGATGTCAAGTTATTAATATTTTTAGATGGAAAAATAATTGAGGGCTAGTTGAAGGCCATCATTTGATTCTTGTGAATGTGATCATTTATTATGCATTGAGTTATTTATGAGAGCACAGATTTGGTATGAAAATACATATTTGCTCACATGTATATATTTTTGCTTTTCTGTGATATTTAAAATGCATCAGCACTGATCGTGTCGTAGACACATTGAATGAGCTGTGACGCTTTACTGGGACATTTCCTCTGCTCTTTATCTTAATAACTGGTTGCCTGTTATCTGGACTTATTTATTTATTTATTCAGTTATTCACTTGCTTATGGTTTCATAAAAGGAAACTCATTCGGTTTAAGTCTACCGACGCTGATGTTCTTGAATGAAGTATATGAAATATGCTAACTTGTTGATTTTCTTCAGCAATGTTTACATTTTGACCACTGTATTTGTACATGAGTACATGCACAGGTAGATATATTTTCCTCTGCAGAACAGAAATGCTCCTAATGCATTGCAGTGAATAAACTATGTTTGAGTAACATAATGTCTCTGTTCATAAATCACAATATCATACAGAGCAATATGTTAAACATCAGTATAACTTGCTTTAAAGGTATGAATATACTAAAGGTATGAATAAACATCTTTCATGTTGTTTTTTTTTTTAATGACATTTACATCCATAGTACCTTTTGTATAATTTAATTTTATATTGTATAGTTTGTATATGTGTATTTTGTTGCAAAAGTCTAAATCCACTAGTGACAATGTTATTTTGCGTTCTTTTCTGATTTAATAGTTTATTATTATTATTCGTTTAGAACAAATATAACAATTTTAAATTAATTTTAAATCATTTTAAAATCCTAAAGGATTCCAATATGAAAATTGTACAGGATTCTAATTAGAATTTCGAAATCCAAAATCATATTTTGGAACAATTCCTATGAGATTCCTACAGGACTTAATGACACAAAGGATTTTGTTCCTATCCTGTTCCATTTTCTTTGCAGCAGCTTGTTTACTGAGACAATGTACATAAAAGAGAATGATTTAAATAGGATGCCAATGGATCCCAGTTACAATATATATATATTAGGAATCTTGAGTCTTAGAAGAATTTCATTGGAACGGTTCCAAATTATAAGAAATAATTCAAAATTATTATAGAAATTGAAATTAAAACGTGTTTT